AATTTCACTAATTTAGGATAGAATTATTTTATCTTTCGTAGATACAGCATTACAGATGCTTTATAAACAAGGAAAGGTTTTCTTATAATGCTTAAGGAAGGCTTAAAAAAAAGCACAAGTAATGATGTAAAGACTAAAAAACACACCTGAACTTGATGTTTCTAGAGGCCTACACTGTAATCCAACAGGGAGCAGCAGCCCACTGCCCTCAGTTAAGACACTCCACTGAACTAACACACAATTCCAGCTGCTTTGATGATACAATGACACAGTTGAACACATGCAACAGAGATCACAGACTTGAGGAAAGCTAATAAACCCAAATAAACACCTTTCTACCTCATCATGTTAGCTCATTAAAGGAACTCCTCTACTTAGTCATTGATGTTTCCCCTTCCTTTAGAAATGGCATTAAGGTGCTGGACATAGTGGCATACAGCCTGTAACTTCAATACTTTAAACGCTAAGGCAAGAGGGTAGCTAGAAATTCAAAGTCACTCTGAGCTACAGAATGAGTTCAAAGCCAGTTATGGGTTACTGTGCTAAAAATTAAATAAAAATTTTAAAATCCCGTCGCCTGGAGAGATGACTAAGGTTAAGAGTGCTATTCCTGTGGAGAACTTGAGCTAGGTTCTCAGCACCCACCACAGGCAGCTCACAACCACCTGTAGCTCAAGCTCCAGGGGATCTGAAACAGTCTCCTGGTTTCTGCAGACACCCACATATGGGCATGCATACACTCATACACACAAACACATGCACACACAGAAAAACAAGCAGTACATGTTGCCTACTAAGAAATAGCACACTAGAATCTAAGTTGTTTTTTTGTTTGTTTTTTTAATTACAGAGTAAGCCTCAAGAGCTGACACCTACAACCTAATTTTCTCAAAATTTAGATGTCACCTAGACCTGGTAAGCTTAAGATACCAAAATATCCATTATAAGTGTATTCTCCAGCTCATTACCCTTATACCTTTAGCATTCCAGAATGCAATAAACCTTCAAAGAAAGGAGTTGGCAAGCCAAACCAAACTTATTTCCACAAAGTTTGAAGTGGTATGACTAACTGAAATAGCTTCAAGTATCTGCCAAGTATGGAAGCCTAGCCTTCCAATTCTTACACTTACACTTACACTTACACTTACACACACACACACACACACACACACACACACACACACACACACACACAGAGTTTTACCACTGAAGTCCAATGATCACACTTTGTCAAAATGGTCAATCTTTTTAAAGGCTGGATAAAATTAAACTGCCAGCTTACAACTGAGCATAATGCCAACTAAAGAAGCAAAAATGACAGCTATTTTAACTTAAATGGGAACTCAGATAATTCATGGCATTACAACGCTGCCTGTTTAAAATGTAACCTTAAATGTAGAAAAACAAGGCTGTAAAACAACAGCTTTGGTGGTGCACACCTCGAAGGGAAAAGGCAGGTGGATCTGTGTGAGTTCGAGGCCAGTCTGGTCTACAGAGCAAGTTCCAGGACAGCCAAGGCTACACAGAGAAACCCTGTCTCCAAACAAGCAAGCAGCTAGAACTTATGAACTGTTTACTATGCCTTAGGAGTCAAGCCAAGAGTGTGAAATTATTCTTCTTATTCTCACAATAACCCACGTGGAAGTGAGATTCATGTCTAGAGTGAGGTATCTGGATTAAAGTCACAACTCTTAAGGGGCAAAGCTTCAACCAGATGGACTTCTGACACCTTGTATGTCCTTAATTTAGGAGTCCTAGTTAAATTGAGAGCCCAGGCCACAACCATCTAATAAAGTTCTGAGCGGGGGTGACACAACCCTTCACTGTTCTTTTAAGCTAGTCAGTCCACCACCAACACGCAGACAGTTTTAAGAACCACTACTCAAGTACTCTCACATATCGTAGCAGTCAGGGACCTGCTGTACGCAAACACCACACCAATGTCCTAACAGACCTAATGCTACCATACTCCAACCACCTGTCCAATTGTTTCTACAGAATACAACTCCACAGTGGATCACATAGCCACGGTGGGTACCTACAGAAGAGCTACAAAGATAGGGAAATGGTAGAGGGAGGGGGCTAGCTCATAGGGCCCCAAGCCTTCCTTGAGTAATTACACACATACCCTAAATTAAGGGTTGATGGGGAAACAAGAAACATTTCTCCAGTGCTGCAGCCACTGGTAGGGTGGCTACAGTAAACAATGCTTCAGTAAACAATAATAAATTCACTGGGTCACCAAAAACCACATCCAGAACAAAACTCAACCAAATTTCCACAACAAATCAAATAAATAAATAAATAAATAAATAAATAAATAAATAAATAAATAAATAGGAAAAACCAGATGGAAGTTGGAGGGAATAAAAGGAGCGGGAGAGAATATGACCAAAATATTTTGTTCATGAAAGAAATGTCATAATAAAATTGTATAATGTATTGCAATAAAAGATAATATCACAAAATATTCTAAGTGTTTAAGTTATATCCAGCTAATAACAAAACTGTCTAACTAGGCTAAGTACTGAACTATACATTCCCAAATACTGAAGAAGGTTAAAACGATCAGAGCTCTGCTTGGAAACGATCGCTATGGTTAAATCCCAGTCTTCAGCCTTACCTCTGGAAACATGCTAAGCAGCAAAGAGAAAGGAAGCCTCTGCACCACTTGCATCTTTTACAGATTTTGCTACTGCTTGAAAAGTCCTCTGCCCAACACCGTCCCAGTTACCATTATGAATTCAGGAAATCATAACTTCCCAAAAGTCAAGCAGTCAGTTTCCAAATGCTGATACTTTGAATTTCCATAAATCTATCAAACTCAAATAAACAAAGTGTCAACCCAAACATAACCAGATTGGCTTATGATACCAGTTTTATGTTAAAATTTAGGCTGCTGGGAGGTTGTGGTTTTTAAACTTTATTTCTTTTGACTATTTATCGTTAGTTTATTATATAAGCATTCATTTAAAATTAGAGATTTGCCAAATGATTTTTTTGTGACTTAAAATTGGCTTCCAACATCAGAATTTCTTTGGATGTTCCATAATTTCTTCAAAACTTCATAAAAGTAGTTTTAAGATATAATTTAGGCTGGGCGGTGGTGGCACACACCTTTAATCCCAGAACTTGGGAGGCAGAGGCAGGTGGATCTTTGTGAGTTCGAGGCCAGCCTGGTCTACAGAGCGAGATCCAGGAAAGGTGCAAAGCTACACAGAGAAACCCTGTTTCGAAAAACCAAAGATATAAATTAGTCAGAAATTAGGAAACTAAGCTAAAATTGACAACTGAGTTGCTTAAAGTGAGATCTGCATTATTTTCAAATAAAATAGCTTTTGGATGAATTTAGTATACTTATGGAAATTATATTCATTCTAAATCATCTTAAATTCAAATAAGATACATTTTGATAAGCTATTTTAAATCATTACCATAAGATTTCCCTCATTAATTACAACTTATACAAGAAATGTGGGAGTGAGGAGTCAAAGAACTTATAAAGAATAAGTCTCAAGAAATTTGGGGCAGTGTATTAATGGTTCACTACCTTGGTTGTGGTGACTGTATGCAGTTCTGGCAATGATATACCTCAACAAAATACTTGTTTAAATACTTGCTGTACAGAAAATGAAATGAGTTGAGTATTCAAACTGTGTCCCTCAACAACAAGCTAATTCTGTTCAATAATTGCACACTAGCCCTGCAACTGAACCAATCTGCATTTGTAGACTCTCCTTTCAATAGGATCCAAACTTTTATTAGGAGCCCATTCTTTAGATAGCAAGTTAAAACTGTGCTAGCTTTAAACATGTATGTGTGTCCATCTCCTTAATAACCAAATGTGTTATGCCATCACTTAATGGCTAGAACTATACTGCTGTAACTCACCATATTTATAAAATAATAATTCCATTAGAGTATAACAAACATTACCTAAATGCTATCTATATTGCAATTAAGGCAAAAGAACCGCCTAAATATAAAGATACCCCCAATTTTTCATTATCCTAGTATGCAAATAATAGTGCAATCCAAAGACACTCAATGTTATACTGCCAGCTCTGTCATTTGATCCCTTAGGTATTTTTGTGGCTGACACAAGTTAACTTTTCCCATTTAGATTGAATTGTGGCAATTTTCCAAATTAAAAAAAAAGCCATTTTTAAACCTATATTTAATACTTTGTTAATACTTAGCCTCAAAAATTTTATGGCGGTAAAAATGTTGGGTTTTCTGGTTTAATTTATTCATTACCCCAGGTCTCAGTGGGAACCAAAACAAGAAAAAATAAAACAAAATTCTGGTGAAAGCTGGAGACTGATACAGAAATAGATAAAACATTGTAGCCTTCTAAGAAAGCAAAAAGACCAGTCTGGCATAACACTTCTGGTCTAAGACTACTCTCTTTACAATAAGAATATACTGGGGCTGGAGTGATGGTTTAGTGCACATACTCCTCTTGCATAGGACCCAAGTTCAATAACTGGACCCACACCAATTATCAGGCAGCTTACAACTGCCTGTAACTTCAGCTCCAGAGGATCTGACACCCTTCTGTCCTCCTCATATGCAGACATACACATACATACATAAATAAATAAATAAATGAATGAATGAATGAATGAATGAATGAATGAATGAATGAATAAATAAATAAATAAAAAGTATTTTTAAAAATAGAATATACCGATATGAATGGGGTTGGGACAGAGCAACAAAAGCAACTGAGGGAAAAACAAAGCTTGAAAATTGATTATAAATATACAGAACCAAAATAGTCCAATACACCATCAAAACAAATGATTCTAAATTTTCCTTGCAAATGAAAATAGTCAAGATTCATTCAATAGCTTTGTGAATTGGTAAAAATTTAAGCTTTTTCTAACCTCAAAGAAATTTCATTTTTTTTTTAATAAAGAAAAGTATAAAATCAAGACATTAATACAGCATGTTGCACTTGGAGACCGGTACCTTGAACACTACAGAGAACAACAATATTCTGAAAATCCAGTTTATTTTCCATGTCGTGGACAGATCCAGTCAGTGTGATCAGGTTTTCTGCATGTGTAATAATTTATCAAAATAGGTTTTCCCACAACTCTTCCAATCAGCTATGAAAATCCTGATCTGACAATACACCAAATAAAGAAAGCTCTTGACAAGCACCTCCTAAAGCTCGAAGAACGCCTGGAAGAACACCTGGCACGTCTCCTCTCTCACATCCACTGCGCTACAAAGGGCTACAGAGCAATTTGTTTTGAAAGGTGACTTAGTACAAGACTTCAGTTCAAGAAGTTAATGTTTTAGTGCACTTTGCTCCAGTTTTAGCCAACATGCTATGTTTTCCTTTTTGCTGTTTTGTTTTGTTTTAGGGGGAAGTGGGGCAAGGAGATGCACAAAGTAGAGTTGAAGATTTCCACTGTTGGAAAAAGGTATGACTCTGCAAGCAAAACTGTAAGCTGCCTTTGACCTTAAGACCTGAACATTTTAAGACAGAAGCTTTGCAAAACATTACACAATTTTTTATTATTAAATGAGAAAATCTCATTTGTTACATCGTCACATTGCTAGTCAGAGAGAAATGCTGCAGTGATGAAGAGAGTCAATGTTGGATCAACCAAAGTCCTCATTTCTACAACATTCATTTACAAAGAAATAATGGTCAACACAGCCCAACACAACATTCTTGGTTTTCTTCATATTGAAGTCCCCCAAAAAAATCATCTTCTAATGGGGTAGTTCACTACATAAATTATAGTTCTTCATTTTTACAATTCACCCCAAACGGCATGAGAGATGGATCACACTAAAATGTCTAAAGCTGTTAGGAAATCCTTCACACATCATCGTCATCTGACGTGTCACTGCTACTTGTCTCTGTGTCGTCATTCTCAAGTGTGGGTTTGAAAGTGCTGTTTTTCCAGGGTCCAAACTTGAAGTCACAGATCAGGCCATTTTTCAAAATACCATTTTTCCTCAGCCCATTCTTCTGTAACTAAAATGTCAAAAACAAGCAAGTTAATTTTGCCCCAAGAGTTAATACTATAAGCATAACCATGAAGTTTATTCATAATCATGAAATAATTACATTAAATTTTCATTGAAAATTCCAGATATAATTACATCTTGCCCCTAAATAAGCTATTTCAATAGTCATGGGTTAGACCATATTCTAACATGGTATTTTCTAATAGAATTAACCTAAACCTATTCTTAGTTGGGCACAGTGGCCTACACCTGTTAATCCCAGCACTTGAGAGGCAGGAAGATCTTAAAGTCAAGGTGAACCCTAAGCTACACAAGAGTTCCAAGCCAGTCTGGCTACAGAGCAAGACCTTGTTACAATAAGAAAAGAAATGGAAAAATAAAATCTACTCTTTGGGAACAAACATTTACCACCACCCCCAACCCACTATGAAGGGGAAAAAAAAAAAAAAGAGAGAGTAGAAAGATCTTTGAAGTACCAAGAGCAGAAGTGATTCAAAACTGTCACACTAAGGTATCAAACCTTCCCAAACTTCTGTTGTTTTACACAAACATTGCAATAAATATACTTGCAGGTGCGACTAAGGCATATAATCCATAACCATTAAACTGATCTCTTTATTATCAGGACCTAAATTAACAAGGCTGGCAAGTGGTTTTATTCACGCTTTGTAAAATAAGTAAAATGAAGTATACAAAGTAAGAGTCCTATGTTTAACCACACAAAATTAAGATACAAGAAAAAAGCCTCAATACCCAAAGTAAGAAATAAAAAATAAAGATTAAGCCAGGCAGTGGTGGCGCACTCCTTTAATCCCAGGGCTCACGAGGCAGAGGCAAGCAGGTTTCTGTGAGTTCAAGGCCAGACTGGTCTACAGAGCTAGTTCCGGACAGCCAGGGCTGCAGAGAGAAATCCTGTCTTGAAAAACAAAAACAAAAACAAACAAAAAAAAGTAAAGATTAATAATAATAATGATAAACCTCAGTCAAAAACATCACCTCTCAAAATGGGGGAAATAGACACCCCAATTAAAAATAACATAAAACTATAAAACTAATGACAATATATACTCTTATTAACTCAGACCTTTTGAATTTCTCATGAAAACCATGAGGCTAATGTTTATGTGCATCTCTAAATGTTAAGTTTGCAGAGATCAAATTAAACTAAGTAAGTTAATATTTGAACTGTCTATAGGTTTTACAGATGAGGGTTCTTTTAATTATGAGAATTTCTATTCAAATCCAAAGAGCTATAGCTAAGGTTAAATACACAACACACAACAAAACACAACACAGCACACACACACACATGTACATACCTAGTGGCTTAAGCTTTAAGTTTCCCTTCCCATTTCTCTCTTAGCATGTTTTCTATCTTGATTTACTTTTGACGCTCACCTCCCATCAGTTTAAACAAACAATGTCATCATCTTTACTTCAAAAAACCACACGTCCATCTCTAATGTTCCCAGCCACCTGACATTTATAAGTATGTCTGGTCTCTCTCGGAAAAAATGCTTCTCTATTCATCAAAGTTCTATTCTTACTTCACCCAGTTTATGAGCCAATATAATCTCATTTTGTCACAGCTTAAGATCATCTGTGGACAACTTCAATGAAAATGAAGCTAAATAAGTATGGTGGCATAAACGTGCATGCGTGCGTGTAGAGGGTATAGGTCCGTGTCAAGTGTCTTCTTCAAGTGGTCTCCATTTATTTGCTTATGTTTGTTGTTTAAACAAACAAGAGTCTATAGTTAAACCTGGAGTTCTGCTTGTAACACGTGGGAAGCAAAGGAATGAGGACTGTGAATTTAAAGCCAACCTGAACTACAAAGTCCCATAGCTGAATGGGCTATATCAAGACCTTCAATTAATCATATCTAGTAATCAATCAAGCCATCCATTCACCTCAGCTAGCCAACAATTCTATCTTTTCTGTGTGTTACCGGTTCGTGTGCATGTGTGTGCGCATGCTGATATAAGTATCAATCAATGGACATGGAGGGTGGGGATCAACGCCAGATGTCTTCCTCAATCTCTGTTTTTAAAGGGCCCATCTCTGACCTTGGAGCTCTGCTTCCTATTACCCAGGATTGAGATTACAGGAAGACCCTGCTCATGTCTGGCTTTTTCTTTCTATAAAGGTGGAAGAGATCAGCTCTTACACGGCAAACACTTTACCAAGGAAGAAGCCATCTCATTCCAAATCTATGTCTTTATTCCTTAAGTTTTCTATAAGCCTGTGCATCACCCAGTATATATTATTTTATATATTACATTTTAGTTTTTCCTTAAAATCAGCTCCTCTCTCCATCTACACTACTTATAATTAATATACTATCATTACATTCAGATACTTCAAAATCCTAATGATTATAGTTCAGATCTTTTTTTTTTAGAACCACCTTACTTAACATTTCTCCAGTGTAGGCTGCAATCCTAATTGCTGCAATATATTACCAACTTATCAGCCTTATTCCACTCTTAAGAACCACACTCACAGGAGGCAGAGCCAGGCGGATCTCTGAGTTCGAGGCCAACCTGGGCTACAGAGCCAGATCCAGGACAGGCACCAAAACTACAAAGAGAAACCACCCTGTCTCGAAAAAACAAAAAACAAAAACAAACAAACAAACAAAAAAACACTTACACTGTATCCTTTATAAGTGTACCTATCTTAACAAAACCTCTAATGAACCTAATAACGACACAAACAAACTCCTGACATGACATTAAAAGCCCTTCATATTCTGACTCCAGTGTATCTTTCTTCAACATACCCCTTTACCATGATTAAAGGCAAGTAGAGCAAGTAATTCAGCTGAACTCAGGCTCAAATTCTAATTGCTCAATTCATTAACTGTGTTATAGAAGCTCTAATTTTCTCATGTACTGAGTAGTATTAATAAACCTACTTTACACAATGGCTTAACACTTAGCACTTAACATGGTACTAGTGGAAATTACGAGCTAAAGTTAACAATACATTGTGAAGTCATACTTTAAAGCTTTCCACCCAATTCTCTTTCTGCTTCTACGAGCCCTAGCAAAATCTCTTACTTTTGCCTGTTTACAATTTGTTCCAACAATGTAATTCTTTCATCTTATCTGTCAAAGGCCAATTCAAATCCATGTCCTTAATTAAATTTTCCTAAGTCACTGACCACTGGGGAGTAAATTCTATGAGGAAAATTATTAATTTTGCATTTCTCTACCACCCTACTCATTTGCTTTTTGATCCTCACCTGCAACATTTAGACTATTATCACCATCTGCTTTACATGGGAGTTTATACTCTCACTAAACTGTATGCTAGAAAAAGGAGTTCAACTCTGGATAGTAAAGCATATCTAAACACTCAGTACATGTTTGTTAGAGAAGTAGAGTTTAAAAGCAGAATCATTATGCTCCAACTGTGTTACCAGGTACAATGCAAACCCTTTTAAAAACATCTTTAATGATCTTTTTTTGGTACCTAAATATCAAATGTTTTATATAACACTTAATATAAATATATCCATGCCTTCATCATTAGTTCAGAAAATACAGTCTTTATGTATATCCTTAGTTTCCTATTCACAGCATACAAAATTAATACCTTTGTGGCAGTTAGGTATTTTATTATCAATAAGGTTTTAGCTACATGCCTCAGTCATCACATGGCTTTAAAGTCTTGGTAATATAACATTCTGTTTTCCTTGGAATACTATTCATACCAATGGTGCTCAGTACATTTTGAATGGTACCTTTCTTTAAACTCAAAATAAATCATTCAAGCTGGGGATAGCTTCGTGGTAGAGTACTTGCTTAGTAGCACATACTCCACAAAAACTAATTCCTAAGGACAGAAAGCGGATTGGTAAATGGATGCCAGTTAGAATTAGGAATAAAGACCGAATACAAAGGCAAATGAAAAAAATCTGGATGGAGAGAGAACTATTCTTCTGGATTATGATCAGTTTATACTACTGAGTAAAAAAAGCTCAACTATTTAAAGTGAAATTCTGTATAAAAACTATGCACATGCCTAACAAAAAAAATTAATCTTTCAAAACTACTATTATTCTATGGTCATAAATTTCACAATCGTGTTAAAAACCAGGTTCATTAAGAATTTTTGATTTAAAAAAAAATAGTTGAAAAGAAGTAAGAAATAGCAAAATTATCTGTTTGCAAAAGACGAAATTCCAACACCAACGCTGCCCTCACCCCTCACCACCAAAAACTATTGCGAATTTAATATACACCAAGGTTACAATACATAAAAATCAACATGAAAGATCAGCTGTTTCTAAGACAATGAATACTGATAACAAATGACTCAAAAAGAATTGTTTAGAAAACAATTCCATTGCTGGGCAGCAGTGGCACACACCTTTAGTCCCAAGAGGCAGAAGCAAGCAGTCCGAGGCCAGCCTGGCCTGCAAAGCAGGTCCCTTAACAGAGCTGTTACAAAGACAAACCCTGTCTTGAAATCCCTCCCCCCTAAAAGAAAGGGGGGAGAGGGGAGAGGAGGGAGGGACGGAGAGAGGGAGGGAGGGAGGGAGGAAGGGAGGGAGGGAGGGAGGGAGGGAGGGAGGAAGGAAGGAAGGAAGGAAGGAAGGAAGGAAGGAAGGAAGGAAGGAAGGAAGGAAGGAAGACAACTTCATTTATACAATGGATAAAGTTCACAAAGGGTTTTAAAGTCTGATATACTTCCACACCAATGGGAAAACATCCATCTCATGCTCATGGTTTAGAAGATTTAATATTGCTGAGATGCTAATATTATCCCCAAATGACTTACAGATTCAATGCAATCCCATTTGAAATAACAATGGTATTTCTTTGAGAAAAAAGAAAACCCACTATTTCAGTAAAAAAGGGAAAGGCAGACAAGAGAGGGTAAGGGGTGGGTGAGGGCTATGATCAAATTCACTACATACATTTATAAAATCTCACAATGAAACCATTATTAGTTTCTGCAATTAATATACATTAATATAAAAGGCTTTAAGATAAAGAC